AAGCAAACTTAATCAAAAGCTGAAATCTGCAGGGGATTGTCCTGCCTTTTCACCGCTGTTTACATGACTTCAGTGTCAGCCGGTTTGACAGAGCATCGATAGCGGCGTGTGAAAAATGTACACGCGGCCTGTTCTACCTTCAGGATGGGGTGTACTGATCGCCATATCTTACCGAAAAAGTGGCTTTGGGTTCCTCATACTCTGTCAAACGCAAACTCTGCGGAGTTAAAATGTTTGTCTGTGATTGCATAAACAATAAATACTGCATACACAAAACACTGAACACTGACAAATCTATAACAATTGACCATTTAAGTGTAAATAATGATCTTTGTGGTAAGATGGCATCAACGCATGCCTGAGAAAACAGGATTTCATAACCATTTCTCTGACTATATAATAAGGACAGAGCTTTTTTGGACTGCGTTTCATGCCGTCTCCACAATTGATTTGTGCGACTTTGCGGAGGAACGCGTCTTTAAAACACATCTGAGGTAAGATAAAGCACGAGACATACTTTATTCCCTGACAGGATGACAGCTGCTGTAACTCATCTCATGCAAATGTCCTGACCTGACATGATACGTGAGAAAAAAAAATGTTATAAAAAGCTACAGTCAAAAACAACAAGATTGATACATTCAACAAATGGCATCAAACCGCTTTCACATCATGTCAGAAATGCATTCGGGTTGTTTTACAAAACGGTCTCTCTTTAATGTGTACATAATGACTTTTACTGTGTCATCACAAGCATTTTTCTAAACAATATCAAAAATGCTTTTTTGTTTTTAAATGTGTTTTCTCTAACTTCTGCTGCTGTGTGTTATTTTAGGATCACTGAAAAGGTGTTTTAGTTTATTAATGTTTATTTAGTTTATGTATTCATATTTTGAATCAGTTTTAATTTTATGTTCCATTTTCATTTCAATTTGCGTTAACGTATTATTTTGCTGCGAATGTTTGCTATTTTTTTAGATGTCTATATAGTTTTTTGATCAAAAATGCTTTTTTGTTTTTAAATGTGTTTTCTCTAACTTCTGTTGCTGTGTGTTATTTTAGGATCACTGAAAAGGTGTTTTAGTTTATTAATGTTTATTTAGTTTATGTATTCATATTTTGAATCAGTTTTAATTTTATGTTCCATTTTCATTTCAATTTGAGTTAACGTATTATTTTGCTGCGAATGTTTGCTATTTTTTTAGATGTCTATATAGTTTTTTTTTGTTTATTTTAGTACATCACGTTAAACTACATTAAATAAGAAATGTTGCAACTAACTGAAATATTTTTTTTATATTTTATTTCAGGTAATGTTTATTTTATTTGAAGTAACAAAAATGTTTCCGTTTTAGTTAACTATAATAACTGCTGTATTAAACATACTAAACACACACTTATAAAGATATTTTCTGTATTAGAGTTAACAATAGATGTGTATTTATAAATTACTATGAACATTGAATTAATCTAGATAAAAAAATAGAGTAAATAGCTGTTGTTTATCTTTAGTTTGTGACAGCTAATGCATTACTTTTTAACGAACTGCACCAATTAATTTATTAATTTAGATTGACATGTTAAATACAATATGCTTGGTCTTGTACAATATTTAAAATCTTCCAGGCTGATCTTTTTGAACATGAAAGGCACCAGTTTTAATAACCCATTTGTAATTTGTAGATGGCAACTCATCAAAAGCATCAAAACTTGCAGCCAGCTCTCTCAAGATGAGACAACCATGAATCTCCACACGTTGCTGACATGCAGGAAGCTACAGAATCATGTTTATCCAGCAAACACACACATCAGCAGATGTGTTGAATCTATAGCTTTTCTGTAGCAGAGAGAGTTTGACAGGTTTGTTTTTCATCCCTGGTCCAAACTATATGGAGTTACATCAATACCTCACATCTGTTCTGCTCACGAAAAAGCTCATCAGCGGCTGTCTGTCTTCTCTTCTGTCTGAAAACACAACAACACACCAGCCTCTCAGTGTCCTTACATTTCTGTCCACGTCCCTGAAGAGAACGAGTCCTTCAATAACCATTATGCAACAGAAGCGTTTATGTGCCGAGAGTAACTATATACGACGTGCAGCCGGATCAGACAAACAGGCTGAACGCTCGGACAGCTGCTCAGACTGATGAATATTCATCACACACGCGACAGAGAACAAGTCAAAGTCAAACAGGAGGCACAAAACTGCTCTCTTGTAAAATCTGTTCCAACACGTTTCAACCAATGCATTTCCATGATTACTAGAAAATTTTATATCCATTACAGACTTTTCCAGGCCTCTAGAACACACACAAATGGCCAAAACATCCCTATTAATATGGTATAATGTAAATCAGTGGTTAAAATTCATTTTTTCCACTGTACCACAGCAGTACAACCCCAATCTGTATTTGGATTTGGACTGAATATTTGGACCAGCTGGCTCCACTGAATCATGACCTGTAAGTATGATAAATAATCGATGTTTATATTTTCTATCAAGTCTTCAAAATACAGAACTATGGCGATGGCGTATCATTTCTGATATGCGTTGTAGGCGGTAGACCATTCACAGCACACTGGGCCTTCTGACCAATCAGGGCAGAGAAGGCTCTCGGAAAGGAGGGGTCTAGAGAGACTGAATCTTAGAAACTGCTTCAAACTAATCGTTTGAGAATCATTTTGACCCAGAGGGGATTTTCTTTTTTTTTTTAATTGCTAGTTAATGTTTTTTGCGTAGGGCTGGGTTTTGACACAAATTTCACTATTCGATTCGATTCGATTCTCATTCACGAGTTTGCGATTCAATTCGATTACCAATTCGATTCGATTCAATATCAATTATTTTGGATATATATCAGGTACAGTACATGCCAAATTTTCTTAAGGAAAAGAAATCTCTCAACTAATACTGTAAAATATACATGAGAGTCAGTTGGAACTACATTATAATATTGAAGGTTAAAATTGACTGATATGTGCTGTACAACTGCTTAAATTGCACTTAATGAAGTTTTTATAATAATTAAGTTACAATTACTTCAGTTAGTTTTTTGTTTTAAATATACACATTTAAATAGTGGCTGTCATAAAAACTTGGACGGATTTATTCAAACATAAATAAAACATTAAAGAACAGTAAAAATTATAATGAATGTTATATGGTGCATATATTTAGCAAAATGCCCCTCTCTACAGCTTATTTTTCTAACTTAGCTGACTAACGAGTTTATGGTCACCGAATGTGCTTTCTGAGGTAAATGTGATGTTACATTAATTGTTTACAAGCTGTTATATTGACGTATTTGCGCAGCTGAAACACTGATTGAGCGATTACATGAGACAGGATACAGATTTTAAAGTTGTACTCTTTCTTTTAACTTACCTTCGGATGTTTAGTCATGTTTATTTTGTACTGAAACTGGTATTAATGTGGAGGAGATGATCAGTTCAGTTGCGTCTGTTGAACTGATCTGTTACTCCACATTAAACAACGCCAAAACGGTATTTATTGTTTGAATGCTGCAATACAATGGGCATAAATTGAAATCTGAGACTTTGTTTCAAGTACCAACGCACAATGCTTATTGCAATTTATTGGATGGGAGGTGTGCTTCAATGTTCCATCCATTAACGGAAAACAGACTAGACTAATCGATTCTTTGGATTTAAGAATCGATATCGTTTCGTAAAAATGAGAATCGATTAAAATCGAGATATCTATATTTTTTACCCAGCCCTATTTTTGCGTTAGGCCAAAATTTAAAAATTTGGATAATTTGTGTTATTTAGAATTTTTTTTACCATCTTCTTACACTTGTAATGTTGAAAAAATGACCCATCTACAAACAAATTGCTTGTAAATCTCTCATTTGTTATATTTTTACAAAATACTGGTTTCAGTCTTATCAACTTGTTTTCTTTCAATTAGCACAGGTTTTTGTATTTCTTTTTGGAAATAGCTTATTGTAGGACTCATTGATATCAATTTTAATTGAACACTGCCAAAATTATCCACAAATAAGGCCTCTGACCAATCACATCCAGAAATAAATACACAAGTTGTGCTAACTGAAAGAAAAGAAGTTGACAAAAAGATCAAATCCAGGAATTGGTGATAAAGTATAATGGGAGATTTACAAGCACTTTTTAAAAGCCGGTCATTTTGGACCTGGAATGCGTGATTAAATAAAGGAGTTTCAGCACATCACATGAGCTAACTCTCTTAAAAAAAAAAAAAAATCATCAAAAAAGAGCTGTCAGCGACACGTTATTGTGCTGAATGACACACAGCAGGTGTTGTTTTTGGAGAGAAACGTATTTGTCATTGGCATGGGATACATTTCCCACTAAACAGCTATTAATTAAGCTTCATCAGCGTTAAGATCATCTTTTGTAGATCTCTATCTCACACACATACACAATCTCACGGGCAAGACAGCAGGAGGATTTGATGTGTTGCTCTGCCCTGTAACCATCATCTCTGTTTTGACTGAGTAAAGAGAGATAAAAGCCTTTAGATTTGATGATAAAGTCAGTTTGCAGCACCAGACACGTGCTGCTTCACCCAACATGTGGATGTACATCAGCGAATCCCCGGAAGACTTTGCTTTAAATAAAACCTCACACTGGATATTTATACAGCGTGACAGATGCTTTAAGATCTTCTGAAGAACTGTGATCTCACATCGTGCATGCTAGTCAGAAAGCTTTGGAGAAAAGTTATATACAGCTTTTAAATTTTTGAAAATTCTTTGAAGAACAGCTTGAATTGATTTAAGAAATGTTATACTAATAGCAAGTTGCTACTGAACTTGAAATCAAATATGTTATTAAAACACTGAAACTCAATGCTGTAATACTTATGACATGGAAGCGGTTGGGCAACTTAAAAAATATTGCTTAATTTTATATTTCCAGCAAAATCATGACAAATACCTCATGAATATTCAATATATCTCCCAGCACTGCTGTTTAGACATGTATGATCATATCATTACCTGCCAGGCAATCAGATCCTTTAGCTTTTCAATCTTCTCCTTGTCATTTGGATGTTCATGGATGTATTTCTCAGTGAAAAACGCCTATAGATGACAAAACAACAACTATAAGTATAAAACAAAACAAAACAAAAACACATACAACCCTCTAAATATACACTACCATTGAAAAGTTTGATGACAGCAAGATTGTTTTGAATAAAGCAGTATTTTTATTCAGCAAGGATGCATTAAATTGATCAAAAGGGACAGTAAAGACTTTTATAATGCTTTTAACACTGATTAGTGTTTTCAACACTGATACTAAGAAATGTTTCTTGAGCATCAAATCAGCATATTATAATTAGAATCATGTGACACTGAAGACTGCAGTAATGATGCTGAAAATTCAGCTTTCATCACAGGAATAAATGACTTTTTAAAATATATTTAAATAGAAAGCAGTTATTTTAAATAGCAAATATATTTCACCATTTTACTGTATTTTTGATCCCATAAATGCAGCTTTGATGAGCATGAGAAACGTCTTTCATAATATAAAACGGTTTAAATTGTTTATACAATCAACTTTTGTTGCTTCACTGTGTTTATTAATCTTTGTGCCGGAATAATCTCATACCTTCTCATAATTAGTGAAGCCGCCCATGACAGCTGGGTCCACGATGCCGTTGAGGAGCATAGAAAGGGGGTTGATGGGAAGGCTGGGGTCGTTTAAGTGGCGCTGGACCATGTTGTTGATTTTCTCATTGGTCAGTTGCATTGTCTCCATAGCATTTTCCAGTGGACTTATTTCCTCCTGCATACAGAAGCAAAAACATATTTATATAACAAAGGATGATTTACAAAGAAATAAACAAGCAGAATAAATTTACAAGCAAAGTGGCACATGATGACTCTTACTTAACCAGCTGTCTAACACGCTACTGTTACACAACAACCAAAGTTGCAATCCAACAAACAAACTCCACTAATGAGCAGCGAAACAACAATTTCAAGTCAAATTGCGTGTCATATTCTACACTGAACCATTTACTGATGTACTAATGAATGGGTTAATGTGTTCTCTTCGAATATCTGGCTCCCGTAATGCATCTGTGACAGGATCTGAAATCAATGCGTCTATCTCGGGAAACTCGTGCCAGCGAGGCTAATGAGAACAAAAGCACACGTGAAGCGTCAGAGAAAACAATCGCATCAGAGTGAGACGGTGAGAAGGAGAGCTAAAAAGAGACTGTGCAAATTAGAACGGATAAACACCAGGGCATGCAGTCTGGGTATCACATGATGCTAGAGCCGCTCTACAGTCAAATATCTGCATGCAGCGTGCCAGCACACGTAACCACGACTCCCTCTGTGCAGGACGGATTCAGGACGACATGACCAAAATAGCATGATCGACAGATGAGAGAGAGACAGGTCACGTCTGCTATAATGGAGTGTGGTGAGAGTGAGACAGGTCTATTTTCATTTTGGGGTTTAAAAGACACTTAACATTCAGCAATATTATTGATTTGACTGCACTGATGCTATCGGATGAGAACAAAACTTGAACTAATGACATCTGTCTTCCGTAGAGTCGCTTTATAGCTGAATCAAACTCTTAGGGTCACCATACTTCCTATTTTTCCTGTCTGGGATTTCCAAACAGCCTACAATGTCCAAGTTTTGGCTTTGTCCAGGCTAGACCATGGAATGCACTCCCTTCCCATATCAGGGAATGTGTATATCTAAAAACATACTTTTTTAGGTTATTTTTTACTTGATTGTTTTAACCGGTTTTGCTTTGCATGTTTTGTATTTTTATTCCACACACGCGCACACGCACACCCGCACACACACACACAGCATGCAGGCATTGTACATAATCGAGAAGGCGGGATCTACTGAGAATGCTCAAAGCAATGCAAATATACATACGCATAAAATATGTGGGCAACGCTAAAACTTGGGACATTTAGGCAATTTAGAAATCCCAGCTAGGACATGTCCAGGAAAAAGAGGACGTATGGTCACCCTCTGAACAACATCAAAATTGAATCAACATTGAACTAACTTCAGCTGAATAATGATGCTATTGTCTTCTGTAGAGCTGTTTATTTATGTGAACTGAATTCAGTAATTGATTCATTTTGCAACAATAAGACGTGTTCACTCTAGAGAGAGTGCAAGAAACACAGCACAAATTTACTGCAACAGATCACATCTTGAGACAAGCTCCTTAAAAATATCTACTTAAAATACAAAATGCATTAAAAACGCAACATTGAGTGCTGAACTCTTGTCAAGCAACTCCCATCATGCAGTGCAAAAACTGCAAAACAAAACAAAAAAAGCTTTCCATGTTGATCAGCAAGTCTTTGGCAATTCATTCAAATAACACCAAAGACTGTCTTTGTCTTCTTGAAAAAATATTTGAGAACTTTGAGAATTTTTCAAGAACTGCACTTAGGAACTTTCTTGTACTTGTACTTACTTGTACAGTACTTCTCAATATTTATCTTTGCTATTTTCTTTAGAAGAATTTAGTGAATATGGTGAGAATTAGAATATGGTGCTGTTGTTGTATTCTTCAACAAATCTTACATTCAACTATATGATAAATACAATATAATAAAAACAAACCTCTTATAAAATTCAACTTGGTTTAAAAAAAACGATTTTGTACAAACAATTCTAAAAAATATATTCTTTAAATGTACTTGTGATAAAAGTTTTTCTGGGTCCATCTTACAAAATAAGTTTGCCCTGATAAAAATCATTGTCTCATAACATTAAAAATTAGGCAGACCAAGATCATATGTTTTATGGACAAGCTGGTGCTACAGTATTGAACTTTTGGAGCTTCTTCACCTTTTAATAAATGCCCATGGTTCATTAGAATATGGTGAGTAAAACAGGTTAGGTCTACTTTAGACTGCAGAAGAGGGTGAGACGGGTCAAATCTACTGAATCAGAGTTCAGTCAAGGTGAAGTGAGACCGGTAAAGGCTGCTCATTTTCCTTCAAAGCATCAAGAATCGCTGATATAATGAACCACTGCGGATGCTAAAGCTGTCGTACTCACCGCTGAGACGGACACCACTTCAAACCAGCGCAGGATGCCCGGCAGCTTATAGGCGGTTGCAAAAGTCGTCCTTTCAATCCACATGTTCTTTTGGAAGAATGGAAACAATTTAGCAAAACATTAAGTAAACAGTTAGCAGAATGAAAGCTTTTAGCAAAGGGACACATTTGAGGTAAAGAGTGGCCGCAATTTATTCCTGCATGCTTTTTTTTCTTCAATTTAAGCCTCCATTTACTGAATTTGAATGGATGTTTACCAATAGCAGATGTAAGAGGAAGCCGTGGAGGTGGGACAGACTTTATATTTTAGTATAATGGTGCTGTGTTCTCAGGTTTGACGTCTTGCTGTAATAACTCAGCGTGAAGTTATCTTAAAAGGTTTTTAGACAAACGGCCGTTTGAAAAACAGTTCTGAGTTCTTCTAAATGAGGAACTGCAGAGCACTTTACACAAGCACTGAGTGAAATAACAAAAGGAGAAATGTTGTAGTCACAGAAAAGCAAAAAGAAACTCACAGCGAACTCATTGTCCGGATCTTTCTCTCCCTTCCGGACCGGCCGTGAATACTGGAATTTCTGGACTTCATTCACGGTGTAAAAGCTGAAAAAAATCAAATGTGAATGATTAATTCCCAGAACGTTTGGTGGTTTCGAGAGGGTTGCATTAGGTCAAGAGGCTGGAGATACATGTGCATGCTTCTAAAAGCGGCCTTGATGATGAACAACAATCATGTGCCATCAAGGATGTGCTTGAAAAGAGGAAATCTAAACACGGGACAAGTGTTTGTGAATGAATATTTTACCTGAGTTTACTACTGAGACTGAGAATATTTTGGGCTTATTTGATCAAAAAAAGTACAAAATGCAAATTTCCCCCCAAAAAACTTGACAGCTTTGCAGATTTTCTGCATTTCAAGACTGACTATAACACGACTACACAGCTTTATAGTGCTGTCTGTGAAAGAGCATATCATTGACTGGACAAACTTACTGAACAAATATGCCCGTCACGGATTGAAATGCTGTTTTTAGTCTGAACAAGACGCTGAGTGAGAGATGAACGAGTGTAAATGACTGATGACTATACACAATTAACATGACATCGGTCTGATATCAATGCGCTGCTTTTGTGCACACTGAACATAACAGATAAGTATCTTTCCCAGCAGTGGAAGTGAAACTCATAATTAATTTACTTTTGGCAATTTGACTAAATGAAGGAAAATAGATCTGCTTTGTTGTCAGTTCTGGAGAAAATGCTTCAAATGACTCTTTTGAGTCTCTCAGTAGAGCTGCAGACATTTGAAATATATAAGTTAATAAGGCTAATATCAGTGGTGCTTCTGTTGAGAAAATGATTCAGTGAAGCAGCTTAACACACTACTGTAACAACTGCATAACAACAATACTTAGTCATATACTTTTCAACTGCTACATAAACAGTCACCGAACGAACCAATGAATGGATCTTTAAACGATAGTTGACTCAAGAATGAAAATTCAGTTAACATTTACTCTTCTCATGTCATTCTTTCTTCTGTAGATCATAAAAGGAGATATTTTCAGTGTGTTTTTAACCATACAATTGGAGCCAAAACTGGTTGGTTAACAACTTTCTAAAAAAGTGGAAGGTAAACTAATTGGTTGCTTTACATATCAGCCATTTAGTCTCTTTCTGTTGGTTCTTGGTCAGAACAAGCTGCAATGGATCAGACCTGGCTACGCGAGTACGATTTCCTAATTACACCACCGACATTAACAAAACAACCACAAACTTGTCAACAGTGCAGCCAAACCCATGCAGACTAGCGTGCAGATGAGTACAGGTGTCCTCTATCTCTGTGCCATTATGCCTGAATAATAAAATATCTGTTTTGCAATTAAATGAAAAAGAAAGAGAGGGAATAAGGTGAGAATTTAGACCATTTGACCTTCCCAGTTCACCAATCCACATATATTCCAGGCGCGGTCAGACTTGTGCAACGCACCTTAAATGAGCATGACGGTGCTAACATGCTTAGAGTCATGCCTCTGGACTGGGTTATCAACCGATTTAAATCGGATTTAAAAAGACACAGATAACCAATTACAATATTTACAAATGTATTAGCTGCAGGGGAGAGAGATCCAGCCTGGGGCATGAGAGGAGAAACGCAAAAATTAACCTCAACTGTGACACGAAGGATCAGGCCAACGTTCAATCACTGAAGTTATCCACCCCTTAAGCTCCTCTACACGTTCACGCTCCAGTGAGCTCATAGAAATCACATCCTGTCATGTGACCTTTGGCTCTGACGCTTATTTACTCAGAATTGTGGGTAAATAGTGAGTTTTAATTGCTTTTCATGCACCCTGGCGGCTCTGATTGGCTGCGGTAAGCTGCCTCTGACGCTTTATTGACACACTCTGACACTCTTAGCCTCTGACACACTATTTTTTCAAGATCAGTGATAACGCCGCTGTTTACCCCGTAACACAGAATTTAGCCTGAAACAGAATTATGCTTCTGCTGCAGGTGTGTGTGCGTGTGATTTATTAAAGCACAGAGGAGTGTAGTAAGGTCAAACACTGTTTGCTCACTGCACATTTCCATTTTAATCAGCGGGGTGAGTCGCTCTAAAGCACACAAACCCCAGAGATCTGCCTGCCGGTTTACTGACCCATCACACGCACACGCACACGCACACGCACACGCACACGCACACGCAGGTCAGCAGACAGGCAGACAGATGGAAAATAATGTGAGAAAAATAGAACAAATAATCTTACAAACAGACAGATTAGATCAAAATACAGAAAGACAGATTAGATAGAACAGAATGATCTTGATAGACAGATAGATAGAATGACAGACAGAATGGCAGACAAACAGAAGAGACAGAACATCAACAAAACAATAGAAAGATCGATAGACAGATAATTAGAACAACAGATAAACCAACAGACAAGTAACCAGACAGACAGAACGAACAAAAACAGACAGATATAGAATGACTGATAAATAGAGAGAGAGAGACAGAAAGACAGACAGTCAGACAGATAGAATGACAGACAGTTAGACAGACAGAACCTCTCACCTGACGATCTGCTCTGATACGGGTTTGTTCTGGAACTTTGGTGGCAGCTCTAGGATGGGCTTCACTGTGAAACACTGAATGTCTGTTGGAACCAAACTAAGAAACAATAACAGAGACAATTTGTAGATTTGAAGTCAAACTAAACACAGATTTCTGTTGTTGTTGTCAGCATGTGCTGTGAGTGCGGCTGGAGGATACACTGTCCAGAGGAGCTCCTGATGTCCTCGCTGGGAGGGGTCGTGGTCTTCATCTTCTCAGCGTTGGGGAACTGAGTGAGCAGTCTGGCCTCAAAGTCCTCCCGTCGCTCATACTCCTTCCCCCGATAGATGAACATCTTATTCTGAAAAACACCCGCAACAGACATTTTCATTTTGAGATCAAACATTCCTTTTCTGATTTATTTTGACGACTTTTCTGCATTCACCATCCTAATGAATATTATTAGCATGGTATGAATTTCAAAGCATCTCATTTTCTTAAAAAAAGCACAATTTAATTAACACATGAGATTGAATAAATACACAGAAATATAACAAAGTAATAATTGAATACACAAAGGCCACAGATAGGTACTAACATATCCAGATATGATTCACAGCAGTAGTGTTTACATAGAAAAACAGCACAAAAAAAATCATATTATTCTAATGCATTAAACAGCCAACAGAACTATTATCAAAACTGGTGGTTATCAGGGTCACATACATTTTAGTTTTAGCAGTGCCAAATACCAAAATGCAACTAACCATGTGATCATGCATAGTTGAGATAAATAGACTTATGAAATATCTAAAAGAGTGGACAAAATGCTTCACATAACTTTTGCTGCCAATATCAAAGGCTGTATATCCAATCAAACTCCACAGTGTTTTAAAAAGGCAGAATTGCGAGATATAAACTCAGAGTTGCAAACTTGCAATTCTGATTTTTTTCTTAATAGTTGTGAGTTTATATCTATGTAATGCAAATATTAATACAGTAATAAACACTTGGTAGCATGTTGGGATTCCTTAAGGAAAACCCGTTGAGAACCACAAATCTAGATCATTCAATTATCATCATCATCTATGAATCCAGGGATTTTATGAAAACAGTAAAATGACACAGAAAAATGCATCTCATCTTCAGAGAAGCTCATTCTGTATTTCTTAGAGTTTTAACGTTGAATTTTAAAATAGCCATCGTGGCTGTAATTCACAGGCGTTTGGCAGTCTGGAAATGCTCAATTATTGCACATTCCCATAAAGACACCGTCAATCATCAGCGCCCACCTACAACACCGTCAATATGTTTCCACTCGCAGCGTCTGTGCGAACAACTACACTCAGACCGCTGTGTGCACACAAACACCCACACACATGCTGAGAAATATCACAGCGAGAGGGAGTGTGACGGAACGGGATACTAAATTGTCAATATGTGTGGAATTGAAGTGTTTATTGTAGAACAATGCATGCTCACATTTAATATTTCACAATAGTAGAAAGCAGCGTGCTAGTGTTCGATCTGAAAACAGGCTGAGAGATGCACTGGTGCGCACACACGCACACACACTCCCTGCCTGCACGAACATATTTCAGCTGCTCAATTAGTGAAATGTGAACCAGAGGGGAAATATGCCCTGGGCTGTTTTCAAATCTGCTTTGAGCGATAAGGTGACAAATTGGACTGTGCTCTCGACGGGTGTTTTCACATCGCTGGTGATTCCAAGCACGGCGGAATAAACCGGCTGCGGTCGCACGACTCCGCGCGCATACAAAAGTGCCACTTTAAGGAGAGAGAGGAGATTGCAAGACGCTTTGTGTTTTAAAAGGCAAAGCTTCTCTCCACGGAGCAACATGTCAACACTAGCAGGAGGCGACTGGCCTTTAGATGCCGATTTATTTTTTTGTTCCCAGGATGGTTGGTGGGAGACGCGTGACTGCAGGCCGCTGGAAGAGAATTAACAGGATTCAGTGCCACAACCAGAGGCTTAAACACATGCATGATCTGTGGAAGGTGAATGATTCGGTTTCCTCGTGAACGACAGATTCTGGCAGGGAAATATATAGAAAAAAAAACTGAGAATGCAAACACTTGAGTCCACAGAATATTAATATCGCCCTGCCTTTTTTCTGTCTGACCTTCATACTTGATCAACGTTGCATTTTTACTGCATATAAGCTTTGATAGCACTTCATTTGCTTTACCAAATCATTGTATTGGTTTCACATATGAGAGAATTTAGATGAGTGTTTGTCAAGACCACATTTGAAAAGCCATGCGAACAACCTTAGAAACATCGGATTTGAGCTGCAAAGTGGAAGTGAAATAGATTTGGTAATAAAAGAACCTACAAATAAAAAAAACAAATTATAAGAAGTTAATTGAATAGTATTAACTGAATTGAATACAAATAAATTCAGGAATTTAATAAATATTTAGTAAATATTGAGTTGGTTTTTGGTTTTTTCAAATTTTTTTATATCAACCTTAAAACATGAGCAAAGTGGAACTGAAAAAGATTTGGTAATAAAACAAATAAATAATTGAATTGAATAGAATACAAATAATTACATTAATTTAATAAATATCGACATGGTTTTTGGTCATTTTATAAACATTAAAAACATTGGATTTGAGTGGTAAAGTGGAACTGAAATAGATTTGGTAATAAAATAAGCTAAAAATAAAATAATAATAATTGCAAAATAATACTAATTAATAATTGAACTGAAGAATATAATTGAATTAAATACAAATAAATTACTTAATTCAACAAATAATATTTAATAAATATTGAGATGGTTTTTGGTTATTTTATATATTTTTTAACAGCCTTGAAAACATTGGCTTTGAGCGGGCAAAGTGGAACTGAAATGGAAACTGGGAAGAAGCTAATAATAATACTAATGCTATCACTAATACGAATACAAATACTAACAATAGAACTGAAATTTAGAATTCATGATTATATTTTGAGACTGAAAGTCTGGGACAAAAAGGTGAAAAAGAATCATAATGATGAATGCATGGTAAAAATCGACCGACATACATCAAAAGGAAAATAAATCTGTTAGTTTGAATAAAAATCAACCCCTAGAACATGAAAATGGCTGTATTTGAGTGAAGGTTTCTGCAGTACTGAGGACAGCTGTTGATGAGTTTGGAGAGGCCACACAAAGACACCAGTGATTGATTTCCAGGCCTTTGGAAACATATCAGACGAATTCACAATGCAATGCATTTACACAAAGAAACAGAGATCTCCATGGTGATGGTGAAATATGAAAAGATTCACAATAATAAGAGAAATTCTCACCCGCAGGAACGAGGGGAAGCCCAGCCCATAATAACCTACAGCGAAGTAGTCCGGCTTTGGTCTGATCACTTTCACGATGTTCTCATAAAACTGAGCCTGCTTCCTCTGAGAGACACAGAGACAATCAGATCATCAGTGCTCAGTTACAAAAATACAATTCCTGTACAACAGCTGTTGCCATGGTGATCCATGGTGTTATGGATGGTTGCCAGGGCGTTGCTAGGTTCCTTAAGAGTTGTTGGGTTGTTTATTATTAATAATTAAGCAAAATAATTTTACTTTTTCACAAATGCACTGATGATTAGCTCAACTAATTGTTCTCTCTATTTGAGCTGCTGAGCCCAGTAATGGGGTCCAGTTCAGGGCAGCAGATTCGCTAAGAGTCCCCCACTGAGAGACCACTACGCTGGGTGCAGATCTTCGCGTGGCCCCTTATAACCTTCAAATCCCCTCAGCTCCTCTGTCCAGCCTGTCAGACTAACAGAGATGTAGCTATAACCGAGCAGTCAATAATCTGCCTCTCTTCAGGTCACCTGTCCGTTACACAGACAGCTGCAGATTCTCTCAGTGCTGCAGATGCAGGATGCATTTAAAGGCACGCAGAGGTTCATGCAGGCCATTTCTGACATGCAATCACACGGAATGAGGCTTTCTGTCTGATTCATGCATAGAGACACAGAAAACCTGACAGTATATAATAGCATATAATAGTTAATCGAGTCATGCTACTCCTTAAACAAGCAAAAAACTCTCTCTCTCTCTAAAATTACATATAAAATACATGTAAATATTTACATTTGATGCTGCTATCCTTACTGCTGTTTTAGAATACATAATATGCAAAAGATAATATGGAATGCATTATATATTTATGCTTCAGTAACTATTCAAATATTCCACTAATTTAAATAATTTTACAAAATAATTACATGATGTGTGTGTGTGGATTTATATAATTATATATTTTTAAAATATGAATAATGTTATATTTTAAATATTTAAAAATATTTATATTTCATTTAATGCTGCCATGCTAATAATGATTCTCAATGTTAAAGCTTATATATACAAAATAAATTGTAATTTTTAATGAATTTGATACTGCCATCCTTATTACATTTTTATATAAAATAATTACATCGTTTTTGTACATATAAACAAAATATATATTTTTTAATATTTAAATTGGATGCTGTCACCATAATAGTGATTCTCATTGTTTATATATAAACCAATATTATATAAATTCAATAAATACATTTATATACATATATAACTAGATTAAAACAGTGACAATCACAATTAGGATGGCAGCATCAAATTTATATTTACACAAAATAAACTAAGAAACATCCTAAATCATATGACTGCATCAGCAACAATGAACTGCAAGATTTAATTAAACTATTATTTCACTGAAAAAAACAGAAGACACAATGACATGCAGGGACTTCTGGGAATATAAATGAGTGATGACTCAAATGAACATCTGAATTGTTGTTGTTTGTCTTTTAATCAATTCATAGAAATGAACCGTCAGATCAATTCAGCCTTCCAAAATGAAAACTTGCCAAAGGAACACATACCACAGGCAAAAGGACAATTAAGTAGAATACGTTTGATCACTGCATCTCACAAGGTCAATAATAGTTGAAACACAGCTCCACTATTCTGAAAACAGTCAGACTTCCTGAAGTTCGTTACTGGTCAACATGACTAAAGCAGGTGTTGTGAAAGTAAATACTGTTAGTAGCCGTTACCTTGCCCTTGTCGAAGTAATTGATGATCTCTTGGTACAGCTGGTCTTTGAGTTGACACTGAGTGGTGGCCTGGTAACCGTCTCTCTGCGTCAGGTGGGCGGCACAGGCCTCTTCAGACCACTGACAAAACAACATCACAATTACACTCTTCAAATACACCGCATTAACCTGCCACTGACCTACTGAGAGTCACGCTAGATCTATACACATTAATACAATCACGAGTCAACATCAAACTTTAAAGGAGTCGTATAATTATATTTTCCATCATCTTTCGAAATAAGAAAGTTATTATATGATGAAAACCTAATGAAACTCAAACCTTCCCACACTAGTGAGAAGCAAAGCTGCAAAACATCCATCGAAGTTACAATATGTGAATTCATTAACACAACCGCCCACATATATACATTAATGGTGCCTGCTAGGCATTCAGAACCCTGGTTTGTCTAGTCAAGGTGAGGTAATAAAGATATTAGTACTTCAAAACGATATCCCTGATGATCTGATCAGTTTGAATGACACATTTCAGATCATTTTATGGAAAGCATTCAAGCAATGTGATATAAAAAGGCCATGTTCAAAACATCAGAGAGAGTGGTTATGACCGACTGTTTTTAGTGCAAAAAAACTTTATTATAAGCATTATAAGTGGACGACAGGGAAAAAAAACTAATAGAAAGAAACAAAAAATGATGCGACCCCACTGAACAATAAATGAAAATCTGCAATATGCAGGTGCACAAACACACACACTCATATAGAGCAGTGTGGCTGCTTTCAGATCGCAGCTGCTGGTGATATTAATTTTGTTGTGCTGAAAATCTGAAAGGTTTTGGCTGTATTTCTGTGCCGGCGTCGAGAGCCCATCTGATAACGCTGATTTATGTGGCCACACTGTAATATTCATTACAGATGCTGCCTGATCCTGTAAACAAGTGATTATAGGGAGAAACTGTGCAGATTAAGAACTCTTGGTTTTTTTGCTGACCGCTCAGTTCAAAGCCTCTGTGGAATAAAAACACACACACAGGAAAACGAGCGATCTGATTGGCTGGAGCGGGTCAGCTGACTGTCCTGCGGGACTCTGCTATTGGCTGTCACACTGAGCTACTGTATTGTGCTAAAGGCTCTGTCAGGACTGATTCACTGTAGTGTGAACGTAATTGACATTTCATGGAGCTTTGTGCAACAGTGGAGGTCAAGCACCTCAGGAAAGTGCATCATCGGCGTGAGGAGGAACGGAAAAACCAAGCCAGGTGGCGTTCTTCATCATGTGTGTTTCTGGAGCCTTTAACCAGTAGGTTGTTGGACTAGTTGTTCAGCACTCTGACTGTTTCTCATTGTGAGATGTCAGCGCTGGTCTCTCTGCGGTTACTGTCGTCATCATCATCAACAGAGTGGGGGAACTATGATGTCAGAATCCAGAAGTGTAATCCGCCACGGGTTCCTTCAAAATTTTCCAATTAACGAGTAAAATAAAGCCTGTGGTAAACATAACTTGAGGATACTTTTATGTTTTCTTCTACAATGTAAATTACACGCATCCATACACAAAACACAATTTTTGAAGCAGTTATATTCATTTTTGAAAACGTGTGTTTTTAATAAGTAACCACATAAGAAAGTTTGGGCTGTGAGTGTGTGCAGTTTACATTGAAGAACAAAACGTAAAAGTATTGTCCCGTTATTTGTCTGAATGCATGTTTAAAGACTTACAAAATGTATTTTGAATATAGGCACCCATAGAACAGAACTGATTTCACCAATGTCCAAATGAGCAGATAATCAGCTGCAAAGGTTCAGGTCTTGGTGCGGTCTCTGAACAGGACTGAGAGGGTGTGTTTGTGTTTGTAAATGCTTGAATAGTGTGTGAAACACAAGGTGTGTGTAAGTATGTGCATGTGGGAGCCTCGCTCTTGTATGCAGGAGCAAACAGAACGACGTCAATAATCTGCCTCTCTTCAGGTCACCTGTCCGTTACACAGACAGCTGCAGATTCTCTCAGTACTGCAGATGCAGGATGCATTTAAAGGCACGCAGAGGTTCATGCAGGCCATTTCTGACATGCAATCACACGGCATGAGGCTTTCTGTCTGATTCATGCATAGAGACACAGAAAACCTGACAGTATATAATAGCATATAATAGTTAATCGAGTCATGCTACTCCTTAAACAAGCAAAAAACTCTCTCTCTCTCTAAAATTATATATAAAATAAATGTAAATATTTACATTTGATGCTGCTATCCTTACTGCTGTTTTAGAATACATAATATGCAAAAGATAATATGGAATGCATTATATATTTATGCTTCAGTAACAATTCAAATATTCCACTAATTTAAATAATTTTACAAAATAATTACATGATGAACAGAACGACGGCAGCTATTTATGAAAAGAAGCTGCGTGGGTTCGAGAGAACGTGGTGTTCCCTCGCTCACTGTGATAGCCGACAACCGATGACAATCCGAGATTCACTACAGAACACACGCTGAGCCCAAATGCAGATGTGATTAAACAGCAAACCAATATACATATTAATCCATTTGCTCCACTAACAGTTAATGCCAATTATCAAGACTTAACTCCCAAGATTGACTACAATAAATTTGCATTTCCTAAAGGACACAGTAGTGCTTGCAAAGCAGCCTCATAATATAATGTTAATGCTTTGGGTAAGGTTAGGTTCTCGGTCATGCAAATGTGCTAATTAAATGGCACATCAGAGCTTTGCATTTGTCATGAAACGCATCTGCTTTGCATAGAAATGCAGCTGTAAAGGTGAGTACATGCTTAAAAGAATAGTTCACTCTAAAATTAAAATTTGCTTAATTTACTCACACTCAGGCCATCTAAAATGTAGAGTTTGTTTCTTCATCAGAACAGATTTGGAGAAATGTAGCATTGCATCACTTGCTCATCAATGGCTCCTCTGCAGTGAATGGGTGCCGTCAGAATGAGAGTCACAACAGCTGATAAAAACATCACAATAATCCATGCCACTCCAGTCCATCAGTTAACATCTTGTGAAGTGAAAAACTGTGTGTTTGAAAGAAACAAATCCATCATTAAGAGATTTTTAACATCAAAATACGAGTCCTTTATTCATAATATTATTTTCTTCGGTGCAAAAGTAATCTCATCTGAATCAGGAGAGAAATCTGCACAGATCAAACACGGTTTATAAGCAAAAACAGTCCAAAACAAATGAGTGGCTGGATTTTGATGTGAGAGACATTAGATGGACTTTTTCACTTGAGGAAGCATCATTATGGATTTTAGCTGGAAGCAATGGCTTAAAGTTAAAAACATCTTAATGGTGGATTTGTTTCTTACAAACACACAACTTTTTGCTTCTCTAGATGTTAACTGATGGACTGGAGTGGTGTGGATTACTTGTGGATTATTATGATGTTTTTATCAGCTGTTTGGACTCTCATTCTGACGGCACCCATTCATCACTGCAGAGGAGCCATTGATGAGCAAGTGATGGAATGCTACATTTCTCCAAATCTGTTCTGATGAAGAAACAAACTCATCTACATCTTGGATTACCTGAGGGTGAGGATATTTTAAGCAAATTTTGGGTGAACTATACTTTAAACAGATATAAAAAGTAACATTCCTGTGCAAATAAATGCAAGAAAATGACTCAGTCGCAATTTATTATGCAAAGATGACTGTCAGTTAAGTATACAAAAACCAAAAAGGACGCCTGTATGTTAAGTGGATGAATTAATTACAGAAGTTTTAATACTTGGGTATTAAATGTAATACCTTAAGTTTCATAAGTTTTATACTAAATATTGATGAATTTTAATACTTAAAGCCTTGCAAGCACCGCAATCATGTCTTTGGCAAAGTTTAAGTGTCTTTCTACCAGAGATTTGTTCTCAAATCTGCACTTGAGGTGACTTTCTAAAATGTCAGATGAGAGCAGCAAGCACTCGTTCACCTAACCGGGAAAAAAAACACCCTTCTGTAGAACATCAGCACTCAGAAATGGAAATGTGCATGAATTATTTCTGTCTGAGTTTTCAACAGTGAGATTTCCAATTAAATCATACCAGATACTGTAGATCCTGCTGTTGATCATCATTATCACATGTTCACTGAACCTTCATTTACTGACACAGGTAAGAATAAATGTAGTGTCTTTACTGGAGACATCCAGAGACGTCTTCCAAGGTAAAAGTGTGTGGAGTTACCTTGAGGAGTTTAGCGTGCAGCAGTAGGGTGTATCCGGCCTCGGTGTAGTTATCACACTCCTTATGCAGGTCACACAGCTTATACAGGTACCTACACACACACACACACACACACACACACACAATTGACATTAACAATCTGAACACAAACTCCATTACAAAAAAAAAAAGCTTTAACAACAAACTCACAAAGGCCACCAGCTCAGAGCAGCTACAGTGCTCAGATTAACTCGACATTCACATAACGAATGACTCCAAACACAGGGAATCGCAGAGAAACTTTTCTTCTCTAAACTTAAGATTCTTAAAGATAAAAATTACAAATGGAATGTTTTCAGAAATCAAAGCATGCCATTTTTTTTATTCTGATTCGCCAATGCATAGGTTGTGTCCCAAATGATGCATAATGCACTTATTCTGTGCACTGTACTCACTGTACTCAAGTGTATTTATTAAATAAGGTTATTTTGACATCCAACATGGTAGTCTGATAGCCCCTCCCCCAATTACATAATTAAAGTTGTGAGTTCATGATGAAGCGACCAACATTACACACTTCATTATAGTTTTTAATATATTTTTAAATATTTAACAATATTTTTGTTTTTATATTTTCTGTTTTCATTTTAAGTATGGTTTTATTAATTTTCGTGTGTTTTTGTCTTTTTATTAGTTTTTAGTTTAAGTTATTTTAGTGCAAGCTAAAATAAATGAAGAAAAATGCTAAAGAGCAGTATATCTGAAATATACTTTTTTTATATTATAAATATCTTTACCGTCACTTTGGCTCATTTTAATGTGTCCTTGCCAAACAAAAGCATAATTTTCTTTTAAAAAACGGTAAGCTTTATCTTTCCTTCCTTCCAAAAGCACGACTTGACCTGCATCTGGAATTCTCACCGGTGAATTTTTTTTTCTTCTTGAATTTTTCCATGTTCTTCCACACACACACACACACACACACACACGCACGCACGCACGCACGCACGCACGCACGCACGCACACATATAAAGCCGCTCACCTGATGTACATCTCTTCTCTCTCTATCTCCTTGTAGAAATTCTGCAAGAGAAACAAGGTCACTTATTCATGCTAAACACATCCTGACCTCAGTTCACAAAGAACTACAAATCGGTATTTGAGAGATGATGGGCTCTAGAAGAATCCATCACCATCCCTGTGACGTCTTCTGTCCTTGTGCACTCGTGCTGTTGATTTCTACACCGACCAGTGAGAGGTTTGAGAGTCATGTTTAACACGAGGACTCCAACAGCACGTTCAGATTTAATGTGCACTCTTGTCTTCCAAAAAAAATTTTCAGTTCGTTTGTAAAACTGGTGATGTGTGTGAAAGTACAGCCAATAAAAAAAACAAACCAAGCCTTCGGACGTGGTATTAACAGCACTGTTTCAGTGAGAGATCATTTTTGATATGCAGTACTGTCAGATTCAAGTTCTTCATTGATGCTACGTTTGAACAAAGCCGTAACTTTAATGCTCGTGGGCATGTATAAAGAGTTTGAGCCAATTATAAAGTTGCAAAGGAGCTGATGCAATTACTCCACGCCATCAGGACGCCTACACACTCCAGCTAGAGCGCGCTCCGTCAGGAAATACTGGATGCATTTATGTAAGTGAAGATGCACTGTAAAAACTCATGGGTTTGCTGCATTGATGCTCCGTCGAGAAACTAAATGTTCTCCTCACCAGCACGTTAACTGTGCAGCTCATGCGGTTCTCCTTGTTCTCGTCATGCATGATGGTCCTGTAGTCCAGAAGTCTCTCCAACAGACGGACCACCAGAGTTACGAAGATTTCGCCAGTCTTAGCCAGATACTTGTGCTTCCTGCAGTGCTCCAACAGACTATCACAGACATACGTACATTAAAAGTGAGTCACACTGCTGTGTCCTGAACTAGAGACATGAAACAGCATATGCAATGCATGTAGAGTCAACACGAAAGCAAATTTGATTTCATGCTCAACTTAAATGTCCCTAAACTCCTTATGAAAGTCAACATAAATTACCATAATAACATTTCTAAGCAAAATGCACTTTTTAATGTAAAAGACTTGACGAATTAGGCATTATGTTGTTAGTTAATATTTGCGCATGTGCCACTGATTACACTGAAAGGAAGAAAAAATATTTTGAGAAGCAGAGTAAGTTATTATATTTCAATGAAAGATTTATTTTTATTTTTATTAATTTCATACTAAATGCACTGAAAAATATCAATAAGAAGCTCAATAAGACCAAGAACATTTATATGCAAAGAAATTAATTACAATTTAATTTGAAACATTTTATATGAATATTTAATATTAAATACCGGTGTTTTTTTAAAAGATCATTTAAATGCTTTCATAGTTTTTGTTAATATTTAGATTTTATTTTTAGACTTCGTTTTCACTTTAATTTTACAGTTGTGTGTTTTTGCAATTTTTATAATTTTTTTTAATATGTCCCTTTAGTTTTTATTTATTAGTTTTAGCTTATTTAGTTTTAGTTATTTTAGCACTTAAAGTTAAACTAAACTAAAATTATAAATTTAGCCATGGCGACTAGCCGAAATAAGTTTTTAAAAATATATATATTTTATTTTAGTTAATGCTTATTTTGTTTTAGTTAACGGTAATAACACAAATATTTAACAAGATGAAAATTAAATATGGCCAGTTTTTTAAATAAATATTTAAAAAACAAAATATTGAATAAACATCTTTAATATTAAAATCAAATTAATTAGGGTCAGTTTTGATTTGATTATTGTCTTTTAAAGGCACAAATCTCTTCTGCTCTGTTCATGTAGCATCATGTAGCAATTATATTAACGTGTGTGTGTGTGTGTGTGTGATCTGCGCTCACATCTTCTGGAAGAGGATTTTGTACTGTTCGTCTCCTCGGCCGCCTTCCACCTCATGATCCAGCTTGGTGATGATCTCGTTCTCAAACTGCAATTAAACACAGCGGCTGTAAATAACGAGTGGGGCTAATTTTTCATTTCATTAGCGTCGTTCCTCCCAGCCCTCCTCTCTCTCCTCCTCCTGCGTTTTCTCGCTCTCTTGCGCTGTGTCAGAGAGTAATCAGCCGTTATCAGTCACACCAACTGTGAGCTCAACTTTATCTGCTGATTACCATCACTGCGCTTCATCACACAGGCTGTAAATAACGAGTGGGGCTAATTTTTCATTTCATTAGCGTCGTTCCTCCCAGCCCTCCTCTCTCTCCTCCTCCTGCGTTTTCTCGCTCTCTTGCACTGTGTCAGAGAGTAATCAGCCGTTATCAGTCACACCAACTGTGAGCTCAACTTTATCTGCTGATTACCATCACTGCGCTTCATCACACACACACACACACAGGCGTCTGAGGGATTTTCTTTTGTAAGTTATGAAGTGAGACGTCTTCAGTATAGATGAACACAATGCAAACTTACACACACACACACACACACACACACACACACACACACACAAATTATGATTTCTGTCCTCCTCACATCATCCTCATATGTCAGATAACTCACAGACTTACTGTAGATGTCATAATTAGCATCAATTTTACTAAAAAATCCCTAACTACATAAAGTTTGATGCAATTGCTGCCTGGTGGACAATACAACTCTGTAAACTTAGACATCATTAATAGTGCTTCACTTCCATGCTTTAGACTGGATTGTATGTTATACTGTATCTCAATACAGTGAAATTAGCAAAAACCGAATGCTCACATGCATATTTGCACACATGCTCTGTGAAGAGCTCTGCGACTGTTCATCCATTTGAGTAATTAATTTAAGAAGCAATGTTTAATTACTGAGAAACACCTGAAGTATTTTTAATCAAATAAATGCAGCTTTTGTGAGCACAAGAGACATAAACATTTAAAAAAAAAAATCGAACTGACCCCAAACTTTTAAATGGTAGCGTACTTGCCCATGAACTGTACTATTAGTATGCAGTACACATATGCAAATTAGGATGTAATGATCACAGAAATCACACAGTTACTGATGTCTGTGAACTAAAAAATCCCTAACTACATAAAGTTTGATGCAATTGCTGCCTGGTGGACAATACAACTCTGTAAACTTAGACATCATTAATAGTGCTTCACTTCCATGCTTTAGACTGGATTGTATGTTATACTGTATCTCAATACAGTGAAATTAGCAAAAACCGAATGCTCACATGCATATTTGCACACATGCTCTGTGAAGAGCTCTGCGACTGTTCATCTGAGTAATTAATTTAAGAAGCAATGTTTAATTACTGAGAAACACCTGAAGTATTTTTAATCAAATAAATGCAGCTTTTGTGAGCACAAGAGACATAAACATTTAAAAAAAAAAATCGAACTGACCCCAAACTTTTAAATGGTAGCGTACTTGCCCATGAACTGTACTATTAGTATGCAGTACACGTATGCAAATTAGGATGTAATGATCACAGAAATCACACAGTTACTGATGTCTGTGAAAACTGACCATCTGGAAGCAGCGTCTGAAGTGAAACTCGCACTGCATCATGTCAAAGAAGATGGGAATGGTAGCTTTACGCAGCTCGATCTCAGGAACCAGCGTCATCTCCAGAATCGGACCCACCATCTCAGGGATAAACCTGATTTTGTGTGGACCTGCAGGATGTTGAGAAGAAATTCTCAAGTTAGCATGCCTGAATTCTTCAGTTTATTTGTTTAAGATCTTTTCTGTGTGTTTTATGCCGTAGAAACAGGATATGTTTGTGATATTTCTGCCGGCAGGTGCAGCAGCACAGGGAATATCAGCTCTCAGCTACTTCCTTGCAGTGCCTATTTGTGTCTAACAACAACTTTTATGTATTTTTGTGAGCTGTGTACAACTTCTATTTCAGAGGCACGATTTCTACAGCTCTCAAAAGACAGACTTTCATCTGCGCTCCGCTAATCTTCAGAGTTTCGCACAATCACAGTGCTGAATACAGCCAAAGATCTCTGAATCTCTGGCGTCTGTGACTAAACCCGCTATCAAACGCTGCCAGCTAATGAACAACCAAAGGCAGCTGAGAAACACGTCTAGCGTGAGGTGGCAAAAATTCCTTCAGAGAGGAACGTGGGAGCCGAAAATACTTTCACAGCGGTTCTTCCTCAACTGTCCTGCCACTAATTAGCACCTTCACTTTCAGAGCATTTCCGTTTGCACGACTCTAAATAACCGCAAGGTGTCTCGGTCGGAAAATAACCCACCTGAATCAGTGCTAAAGCTGTAAGCAATACAAATGGGCCAGACATAAGCCTTACAAAAAGAAATGATACCCAAGTTAGTGAATATGGTACGTGAAAGCTGGGGAACCTTTTAAAGATGCCGTGGTTTTTCCAAAGGCAGCTGAGAAACACGTCTAGCGTGAGGTGGCAAAAATTCCTTCAGAGAGGAACGTGGGAGCCGAAAATACTTTCACAGCGGTTCTTCCTCAACTGTCCTGCCACTAATTAGCACCTTCACTTTCAGAGCATTTCCGTTTGCACGACTCTAAACAACCGCAAGGTGTCTCGGTCGGAAAATAACCCACCTGAATCAGTGCTAAAGCTGTAAGCAATACAAATGGGCCAGACATAAGCCTTACAAAAAGAAATGATACCCAAGTTAGTGAATATGGTACGTGAAAGCTGGGGAACCTTTTAAAGATGCCGTGGTTTTTAGGGACACACAAGGGTTGAGCCTTTTTCAAGAATCTCATAGAAAAACTACATATTTTAAATGTGCTTTTATTTTATTTATTTTAATTTTTTTTATTCAGCAAGGATGCATTCAATTGACCAAAAGTGACAGTAAAGTAGGGTTGTGACAGTGAGGAAATTTTCCCTCCGGTTAATCGACGTGTGACAACACCGGTAATACTGGTATCACCCTGGGGGCAGGGGCGTTCCCTCTTTTTCTCACTATCCTTTGCTTTTAAATAGCTTGTAAAAGCAGCGTGCGCATTTTACTTTCACTTTCAAATAATGGCAATTCGGCGTAAAGTAATTGCTCGTTTTTAGTTCGTTTGAATTTTCCCTCTTTTCCTCACTTTCCTTTGCTTTTAAATAGCTTAAATGCGCCGTGCACATTTTACTTTCACTTTCGAATTAGCGGCAGTTCGGCGTCAATTGCTTGAATGCAACAACAAAATACAACGTCAAACTCACTTTAGCGTATATATAAAACATAGAACTTTTATTAACAAAACAAATAAAAATACACCATGCTAAAGGGCAGGCTATGCCTAATATAAAATAACAAATAACTTACATAAAGTTTAAATAGGTATACAAAACTGGAAATAGGCTTAGTAAACATGTATAATATATATACAACCAAATAAATAAGAAACGTAGAACGTATTAGCAAAATTAGTAAGAAAGATTGGAGGCACGGCATACACCTTGATGTCAAATAAAATAAATAAATGACACAAAGTTTAAATAAAGTAAAAATCCACAAACAATGGGGAACCAATTAAATAAGAAACAATTTTTACAAAAAAACTTAAAATCACCTTAGATAAACGGCAAAAGTCAATAGGCTTTTCAAAATCCAAAATATTGTCAAACAGGCGCTTTTGCATTTCGTTTCGAAACTAAATCATCCGCCATCGTCTTTTCTGTCTCACTCCACTCTTCTTGTCAGTCAGCTGGACTCACTCTCTTCACTGGAGAAATGAAATCTGATCTGAGATGCGACTGTCATTCAGCACGCTGCATTGAGCAGCCGCATTCAGTTTTTAATTGTAGTGTCTGTTCTTTTACTGAACTAAATGATTTTTATTAGGCTACTACAAAAAATCAAAACAATGGTGGGGGTAGGTGCCGCGGTGGGCAAGTGACGTAACCGGTGTTGCAGCTTAACACCGGTATCACCGTCAGCACCGTCTATCGCGGCAAGCCTACGGTAAAGACATTTATAATATTACAGAAGATTTCTATTTCAAATAAATGGTGTTCTTTCTGTGTATCAAAAAATCCTGAAACAAACTATCACTGTTTTCAACATTGATAATAATAATAATAATATAAGAACATTTCTTAAGCAGCCAATCAGCATTTTAGAATGATTTCTGAAGGATCATGTGACACTGAAGACTGGAGTAACGATGCTGAAAATCCAGCTTTGCATTGCATTAATAAATTATATTTTAAAATATATGCAAATAGAAAACAGTTATTTTAAATAATAATATTATTTCACAATTTTTCAGTTTTTACTGTATTTTTGAACAAATAAATGCAGCCTTGGTGAGCAGAAGAGACTTTCCAAAATATTTAAAAATCTTACCGACCCAAAAGTTTTGAACAGCAGTTTAATTGAGCAAAAAGTTCATTTGTAAACACAACATGAGCATATATCTAACAAACATGGACTAAAAACCTCAACACTTTAAATCAGGCTTTCATTGCATCTTTAACCTGTACTCCCACTAACAACACAGCTATTTATTAAACATAGCTGGACATGAAATAGTGATTTTGAGTTGAAAATCATGTGAGAATGTAGAGTGATTTGTATGTTGAGTTACTATGCAAAACTGTACAAAACTTAGACATTACATTGTATATGAAATTATTCAAAAACAAGCAGATTGTGCTTGATAAAACCATAAAAGTATTCAAGAAAGTTATGCAATAATAAATAAATCATTTGCTGTGTTAAGAACTTACAGATAGACATACCCTTGTGTACTTTACATCTATTTTTGTCTGATTTAATAATGATCTCTTAAAGGTCAGCTCACCCAGGTTGTACCACATGTCTCGGATCTCGAAGCCAATCTGTCGCCTCATGTCTTGATACCTGTAAAAGAGAAATAGGAAGATATTAGAAAAGACTTTAGAAAGATGACTTCTTAAAGTCAGAGAGCTATGAAGCCACAAAACATCTGACAGAACATTTCAATGATTCTCCAGGAATTGAGAAACATTTACAGTTTGCTAGCCTCAGCTTGCAAACCTTCATAATACAGTCCTTACAGGACCGGACGGATGATCTGCGATTCAGAAAGAGGAGTAGAATCAATGTCAAGCGAGTTTAGGAAAACGACAGAAGATGAGGTCGCAGACTCGTCCCGAATCGGTGCTCTCGTTCAAAGAAAGTGTGAAGTAAGCAGCATGATGACAGATCCCTTATGCTTTACCTCCGCAGGCCTGGCATCCATTCATTAGCGCTGTCATCACACGCTGACATTTTGGGATGCCTGTGGCCCTCAGCTGAATTCTGAGCCACCATTGATTGCTTTGTCAATACGCTCTCATCCAGTGGTAATTTATGATGACAAGGACGAGGCGCGTCGGAGCCCAGCTAACACTCAGTAAAGCCTCTCACAACTCCTGTCTTCATTCCTTCAGTCTGACCCTCGTTACTGACGTTTAATCATTTTTGTGACAGAGACGCTGCAGATCAGATGCATGCTAACATGCTAAAGCACGTCACGTGACTCACCTCGAGTCTGACCAGGACCTTATTCACCTCTCTGTGATCCGGGTTTTAATTTAGCAATACTGAGATATTTTAATTTTAATTTTAATTTAATTTTAATTTTAATTCTAATTTAAATGTTTTCAGATTAAAAAAAAAAAGAAATTGATACTTGAATTCAGCAAGGAGGATGCATTAAATTGATCAAAAGTGACAGTAATAGCATTCAAAATATTATATTTTAAATAAATGCTGTTTTTTGAACTTTCTATATCATCAAATAATCCTGAAAAAAAAAGAAAATGAAACAGCATTGTTTGTTAACACTGACAATAATCAGAAATGTTTCTTGAGCAGCAAACCAGCATATTAGAATGATTTCTGAAGGATCACTTGACACTGAAGACTGGAGTAATGATGATGAAAATCCAGCTTTGATCACAGAAATAAATTACATTTGAACAGATATACAAATAGAAGCCAGTTATTTAAAACAGTAATAATATTTCACATTACATGTGATTTTTTGATCAAATAAACAGCTTTTGTGAGCAAAAGACACTTCTTTTAAACATATTTAATAATCTTACCAACCCCCAACTTTTGAAGCATATTGTATACCAAGAGCATTATTATTATTATTATCACAGTCAAAATTATTTCCTGTAGTAATGTAGTAACATTATGCTACAAATACTGTTGATTAACTAGTTTAACTTGTACTGAACCCGGTGCATTTCTGTAACAGCCAGTGTTATTTTAGTATCATTGAGATACTATAGTACTTTTTATTAGTAATTTGAATTAGTTTTTATTTGTATATTTTTCATTTTAATTTGTAACATTTTTAATAATTGTTTTGTGTTTTTATTTTTTTTAAATATGTTAATATAATATGTATTTCAGTTTTAGATATTTACGTATGTCATGTTGAGAAATGTTGCCTCGGCAACTACAGTAGCTGAAATATTTTTTTAAATATTTTATTTCAGATAACATTTATTTCAAATAACGGATTGTATTTATTTATTTATTATTAATTTTTACTTTTAGTTTACTGTAATAACCCCGGTAACAGCATGCGTCTCAGATGCAGATATTGAATGTTTTTGCTCATACTCTTGGACACTTCATTTCCCCTGCCTGACCTCTCCATTCACTTGCTGACTCCACTGACCTGCTCTCTTAATTACTTCACCTCCCCCTGACTTCCCGTAGCCCTCCTCCTTCACCTTCTCCTCTCTCCATGGCTCTGTCTGTTTCCCGCTAAGCGCTGCTCTATAATTTGCGTCTGTAGTGTCCACAGTGACAGAACGAGAGAGACAGACAGACAGCGAGGCTGCGTGTCCTTGCACTCATACAGAAGAGGAAGCAGAGTCTATTAACACTCACACTTGTCAGCCCACGGGACGATCAAGATGCTAACAGAACACAGCGACAGATGGAAAATACAGAGGGACAACCGCTCCTGTATTATTAGTGCTGTTTGCTAACACGGCTCTTCTCCTGCTCATACTCAAGACACTGAGCAAAACACAAGTCATATCTACAGATCAGACTGTTATACGGACTCAAAGGTGGGTTTGTTTAAATTAGGTCAGTGACCAGTTAGCAACCACATAAAAACACTCAGAACACCTCAGAGACTGCATAGCAACATCCTGGCAACCACCCGAAATACCAAGCAAGCACTCTTAGAAGAACCTATTGACTACGTAGCAACACCCTATAGCCATTCACTCAAGCAGCCACATAGAAACACCCTAAAATCATTTCAGAACACCCAAGAAACCACATAGCAACACACTACAGGAAAAGGAAAAAAAACCTCACATTAACATCCACTTACAGCAGTGTAGGTAAAAGCCCACAACATGCTAGCAACTAGGGCTGTGCAATTAATCGCATGCAATTGTCAAGCGCATCTCGTCAGTAAAGCCAGTTCCGTGATTGGTAGTAAATCGCCACCACCTGCTTTCAGATGGAGCGGCATTTAATACACAGAGCTGTAGTTTACTGACAAGCTAGGCAAATCGCGTTCATAATCGAATGTGATTCATCTGCGATTATGAACGCGATACTGCCTAATTGTCAGTGAACTATGGCTCTGTGTAGTAAATGCCGCTCCATCTGAAAGCAGGTAATGGAGATTTAATACTAATCACGGAACCGGCTTTACTGACCAGATGTGCATGACAATCACATGCGATTAATTGCACAGCCCTACTAGCAACTGTATAGCAACACCCTGAAACCACTCAAAAACATCAAGAAACCACTCCTAGAAGAACCTATTGACTATGTAGCAGCACCCTACAGCCACTAACCCTAGCAACCACATAGAAACACCCTAAACTCATTTAGAACACCCGAGAAACCACATAACAAAACCCTGACAACCACCCAAAACACCAAACAAGCACTCCTAGAACAATCAATAAACCATATGTCAATACCTCAGAGCCACTCACTCTAGCAACCACTTAGCAACACCCTAGGAACCACCCAGAACACCTCAGAAACCATTTAATAGATTTGGCAAATCCACAGCACTCCAGCATCTGCTGCCGAGTTTCAGAAAGGCACGGCTCACAGGTTCTCCAGTAAATATAGTGTATTTCTGAGAGACTGTAATGAGCATGTGAAAGCTTTGGCCTGATGCTCCTCTTCTGTGATGCCAGTGAAGTCTGGACTCTGAGAGACAGAATGAGGAGAAAAAAGCAAGAGAGTGAAGAGACAGCAGCAGCAGCAGCCTCTCTCAGGTCAGCATGACACCTCCAGCAGAACACAGCAAGAACGGAGGGATGAAAGCTCAGGCTACGGCTCTGAACGAATCAAACCAGCACTCTGAAAGAGGCCCGACGGGGAGCAAACAGCACAGAAGAACAAAGTCAGAACAGCGCAACAGATTGCTATACGACGTCCTCAAGACATCAGCACTTTTTCCTGATGAAAGCCCTCAAAATGCCAACGTTGTGCTGCTTTACTTTTTGGGTTTTGTAGAATTCCAGGACATGAAGTGCAATCAGGTTGAAATGCTGTCTGCAAGTCAACAAATTAAACTCCATTACAGCTGACACAGTGTGTTGAGCTCTGTGCGCTTTTATTTTTGCACAAGTTTGGTATTAAAATTAAACAGTTCACCCAAAAATATCAGCTGCTCATCCTCGAAACATTTTTCCTTTGAAGAAGAGTAGAATATTAGAATATTTAGATTTGACATTTCCATGCCACAAAATATATTTTTCAGTGAACTATTTTTTTTTTTTTAAAGGAATGCAACGTTAATTTCTAGTTGAATTATTTTCATGCTATGGGCTCTTATTAATAAATGACTTATTTTAAAATCTATTCTTCTTAATTAAAAATAAATGCACAATAATGAAAAAAATGGAGCAAATAAATAAATAGAACAATAAATGGCACAAATACAAATAAATACATAAAAAACAAATATATTTATATAAATAAAAAAGGCTAGCATTTTTCAAGAGATGCCATTTAGGAGTTAACTCTTAAAAACAATTTTTAATAAAAAATGCACCATAAATTTCTAGTTGACACCCCTAATTGTTATGGTTGATTAAAATTACTGGCAGAATAAATAAATATATTAGTTTATAAAAAAATTTATAAAATTAATAATATTATAAAATTTGATGTTGTTTAATTAAAAAATAAATAAAAAACTTTTAATCCATCACTATGCTCTTAGCAAATCACTCAAACATGCTCTTAAAGGGGTCATATGATGCGATTTCAATTGTTCCTTTCTCTTTTCGCGCTGTGGATCGCTGGATCGGCTTTCACCGTGGACGAAGCTGGCCCCAGCCCGGGGTCGTCACATGTGGTTGCCGCAATCCCGCCCGCCCGCCACGCCGTTCTCAAGCCCACCGGCCGCCGCTCATTCAAGCCGGTCTCTGCTCACTCTAGGCCTCCGTGTGTGACACTGTGTTTCGTGAAAGCGAAACTACTTTGTTTGGTCTTCCAAAAGAGGACACGACTAGAAATCAGTGGTTAAGTTGTATTTACAACACTGTTCCAGAACACTTCAACCCAAATATTCAGATGTGTGCAACGCATTTTATGGAGGACTGTTTCCTGATCCTGGGAGAGTAGACTACAACTGTTCTGACTCATGGTTTTTTTATATTTAAAGAGTTTTTATATTTTATATATTTAAAGAGAGTTTTTTGGGCAGTGTAGAGTAGCGCTTGTTGTTTGTCATTTCTCCGATCACAAATGCAGACATGGTTTTATGTTTATGCGGCGCGATGCACAACACATAAAAAGACAGTATAAGTCATTATAATACGTAATTATGTCCCCACTGGGTGAAACAAATGCCTCGTTTATAATGGCTTTTAATGTTTTCGCTCTGGCCGGACAGGGCATCACAGTATGGTAGGGGCGTAACATTTCCGTCTCACGCTTGAGGTATTCGGCCAATCACAACGCACTGGATAGCTGGCCAATCAGAGCACACCTCGCTTTTCAGAACGATGAGCTTTGTAAAAATCGATGCGTTTCAGAAAGACGGGGCATAGAGGAGAAACAATAATGTACAGTATGTGGAAAATAATGTGTTTTTTTAACCTTAAACCGCATAAACACATTTCATTACACCAAATAATGTTCTTTTTAGCAACATCTTATGACCCCTTTTAATAGACAAGACTGTTTTAAGAGACGCTCTTTAAGGGTTAAATCTTTCAATTTCTCTTTCTAAGTTTGTGCTAGATGATGGGGAAATAAGCAATAACAATACTAATAATTCAATACCCAATAAATGGAAATATTAAAAAAGACCGCTATCAGGCTGATATCATCCGATCTAATACTGTATTGGTCCCATTTATCTAAAAAATATTGTATATGTAATTATCATATGCTGAGGTGCTGAGATCGCTGGTTATTCAATTCTTGTAAATTCACCCACAACCTTAAAGCAAAAGCACCTTCAAGAAAGAGGTGCCATTACTGACACCAGCACCACATGTCCTGAGAAAATGTTTTGGTTTTGGAAACGTGTGCTCCTGTTCCTGAGAAGAAGCTGCTTGAGAGGCCGTGTGATTCCAGAGGCTGAAGACTCCTGACAGACAGTGATCCGTTTCTACGAGAATGAGCTCATGCCACAGGCAAACACAGACAGCAGACAGACAGAAGCTCCTGGAGCTGATAACAGGCTCGTCACTGCTCTCTATCACTCAGTCCTGCTGTCTCTCGCTCTCGAAAGCTTTAAACAGCAATGCATGCTTTCATGAAAACACATTTCCTCTACCTTTCTCAACCCCACCAGATAAAACTTACATGCATTCATTATTTCTTACAACTTTGTATTACTGACTCTTCTCGTGTTAATGCCTCCTTAAAGGAACAGTTCACTCAAATATGAAAATTTGCTGAAAATGTTCTCAAAAACGTCTTAATGATGGATTTGTTTCTTTTGGCTTCTCAAGATGTTAACTGATGGACTGGAGTGGTGTGGATTACTTGTGGATTATTGTGATGTTTTTATCAGCTGTTTGGACTCTCATTCTGACGGCACCCATTCACTGCCAGTGATGGAATGCTACATTTCTCCAAATCTGATGAAGAAACAAACTAATCTCCATCTTGGATGGCCTGAGGGTGAATGAACGATTCCTTTAATGTGATAGTATTATGCAGCACTGCATTGTGGGTAGGTGTCTGTGATATCAATGCTTACTTGTGGAAGATCTTGGCCCGTTTGTCACTCGAAAAGTTCTCCAGCTGCAAAGACTCCTGGGTAAGGAATGCCACAGCGAGGTGGAAGTAGTTATTCCACAGCTGAGAGAAAAAAGGAGAGATCACTTAGTAAAGTAATACTCAGTCATTTGAGGAATCACTCATTTTTTTAACACAAAGAATGAGGGATGGGTTATGCAGACTTGCTTAATACTTAGTGTGAAAGATTTGAGTGAAGTATGAACAATAAGTATGAGCAACAGTCTGTGCACACACTGCTATTTAAAGCACAGAAGAGCTGATGTCACTCAACAATTATTTCAAATGAATTCATTGTCTCTTGAAAGCCAAAGCGTGCATCACCAGATGGGTTCATGGGTAAAACAAGGAGCGGGATAAGAATAACCACCAAACGGCAACAACTAACATGAGCACAAAGCTCAGAGAAGAGCCGCTTCAAATATTCAAATCAGATGCTGGGAAATTGCAGCCTATTAGCCTGTCATGAGTTATTCTGGTAGAGAAATGTAATGATCCCTGCTGGAACTTCCTCTAACTCAAGGCCGAACGTGACGATTAAAAAACATGCTTTTCATAAATAAGACTATACGTTTTGTTTTCATTGCTTTCCGGTAGCACTTCTAGTCTTAAAGGGGTCATATGATGCTTTTTTTAAAGATCATTATTTTGTGTATTTGGTGTAACAGAATGTTGACATGCTTTAATGTTCAAAAAACACATTATTTTCCACATATTTGGTGTAACAGAATGTTGACATGCTTTAATGTTCAAAAAACACATTATTTTCCACATATTTGGTGTAACAGAATGTTGACATGCTTTAATGTTCAAAAAACACATTATTTTCCACATATTTGGTGTAACAGAATGTTGACATGCTTTAATGTTCAAAAAACACATTATTTTCCACATATTTGGTGTAACAGAATGTTGACATGCTTTAATGTTCAAAAAACACATTATTTTCCACATATTTGGTGTAACAGAATGTTGACATGCTTTAATGTTCAAAAAACACATTATTTTCCACATATTTGGTGTAACAGAATGTTGACATGCTTTAATGTTCAAAAAACACATTATTTTCCACATATTTGGTGTAACAGAATGTTGACATGCTTTAATGTTCAAAAAACACATTATTTTCCACATATTTGGTGTAACAGAATGTTGACATGCTTTAATGTTCAAAAAACACATTATTTTCCACATATTTGGTGTAACAGAATGTTGACATGCTTTAATGTTCAAAAAACACATTATTTTCCACATATTTGGTGTAACAGAATGTTGACATGCTTTAATGTTCAAAAAACACATTATTTTCCACATATTTGGTGTAACAGAATGTTGACATGCTTTAATGTTCAAAAAACACATTATTTTCCACATATTTGGTGTAACAGAATAATGATCTTTAAAAAAAGCATCATATGACCCCTTTAATGCATTACACAGATATTAAAAGGATAGTTCAAATAAAAATGTTCAATCTGTTATTCTTTCTTGCATTGAACACAGAATTAGACTCAATTTAGCTGGTATTATTCCAATATTTACAAAGCTATATCATTAAATGACAACAAATGAAATGCTGAAAGCATAGATGAAGTAAACACTTCACAATAATCATGATTATTTAAATTACATGTAACTAACTAAATTTTATTTAAACAACAAGCATATGACCAAGAACATGCATTAAGAAACTGAATTGTATAAAATAAATTAATTCAAAAAATACTGCAACATACTACAATATAAGTATAAACATTACAGCCAGTTAACATTATTATCTAACATCATGGCAATTGAAAACATGTAAAAATAAATAAATAAATAAATACATAAATAAAACAAAATTACAAATAAAATAAATTTAAAATAAATAATCATGAAAATAAATAAATGAATAAATAAATAACATGCATTTATAAAATAAATACATACTGCAATATATATATATATATATATATTGCAGTATGTATTTATTTTATATATATATAAGGGCTGTACGATAAATCGCATGCGATATTTCACGTGCATCTTGTCAGAAAGCCGGTTCTGTAATCAGTAGTAAATCTCCATCACCTGCGGGCTTTCACATTGAGCAGCATTAACTACACAGAGCCGTTGTTCACTGACGATGGAGATTTACTACTGATTACAGAACCGGATATAATACATATATATATATATATACACACACATATACATACATATATATATACAGTATATATATATAATGCACATGCACCAGGAATACATCAACTTGCCCTCATGTCATTCCACACTGATATTTTTTCTTGCATTAAACATCTGGGGATTTAGCATATAATGACAGTGGATGGGGACCAAAATCTCCTTGTTTGTTCCAACAGATTTGCTGAAGTCTCACCTGCAGCTCAAAGTTGGTTTGATCAAGAAACTTCTTGCTGAGCACGGCGGCGTACTGATTGATGGCTCGCAGGAAGACTCTGAAATTAGAGAAAACTCACGTCAGCCACTGTCTATTCAATGAAAACTAGTGCAATGAGATCACAGCCATACTCTATCCATTCATTATCATATTTAAATGAGCGTGTTTGTTCTTAACCCCAGCCTGTAAACGAACCATAAACACAGCCAGTTAAACACAGAACAATGTCATTCCTGACACAGAACTAAAGCTACGTTTAGCGTGCAGCGAAGAAGCACATCAACTACAGATGATAAACTTAATCACAGGTCTTTAACTCCGCCACACTGAGACCACATTAGGAGGATATTAGAGAGCTTTAAATACGCTTAGCTCAATAAAGGTTGTTGCTAATGAACTATGAGAGAGAACAAGAAATCTTCATATACTTCTCTAACTGTGTCACTGCTGAAGAGAAGGAGAAAGAGCGAATGGAGAGGAAGAACAGAACGGAGAGACTCAAATCACTGCAAAATGACAATCTGCAATCAAATCGAGATGAACAGATTCAAAGCATTGAATGTCCAGATCATTTCACATCCGTAATATGATATCATATGAGTAGCAGTCATGTTCACTCACTAGTCTGTAAAATTTGTAATTTTTTCCTAACATTTCCCAACAGGAGTAGGAGTCTCAAGATGCATAAGATGCAAATAAAGCAAGCAATCTATAGCGACTTCTAAAAACCACTTTTTGTTTTGTATTAAAAGCTTTTTTGAGTTTTTATTTTTCTATGGTTATATGTGTATTTTTGAAAAACAAACAAATAAATAAATACAGCAACATACTACAACATAAAATACAATTTAAGCAGATTATTTATATTATAGCTAATTAACATGATTACTGTCAAAGATGATGTTCTGAGGAAAAGCTATTTAATTCATTTGATGAAAGGAAATAAATTAATAATTTTAATTAACATCCACATGACCAGGAACGTGTATTAAGAAATTAAATCATTTAAAATAAATACATAAAATCTATTTTTATTTCACGTTGACTATACCTGTTCTGCTAGGTGGTCTAATGTCCAACATTATCAAACTGTCATGCAGCAACACTTGAGAAACACCAGCCAATGCTTCAATATCAAGTGTCAAAAGTCATAAGCTGAAGTAGATTGGACAAGTTTCTTATTATTAATTTCCAACATGAAAGTGCAAGCGGCGATGTTAATGTCTGACCCCTCATGTGTGAGCGTCTGTCAGATGTTTGACATCTCATTAGCACTACTGCATATCAGCGACTGAATTGTAAGTCGTCTTTAAAAGACCTTGGCTGTGTAAATGCATCAGAAGCCTTATTAATCATCCTTTAATCTCAATCGGGGCAAATTAATTTCTGATCGACTAAGATAAAGAGTGTGAGCGAGCGCTAACATCACGGCACTGCCACCGATCTGGAGGACATTTGACTCCTTCATTGTAACGGAGAGATGGAGAGTTTCTCATCAGGGCCAACAGATACAATCTGTTTATAATGCACTGCTGAAAAATAACTGCTTAATGTGACTGGAGACATTAATAATGCAAGTGAGCTTTACTGAATCAACAGATGGACAGACAGACTGACGACAGACTTTAGTCACAGCGGACGGCATATTTAATCTGACACGCATGAAAATGAGGATGTGTCACTTCAATATGTTGCATTAGAAACTTTTACTATATTGTTGATACCATGGTACATGCATCAATGCACTGCTATCAATGAGTAGAACTGCTTTTTATTATTTAAATGTGAGACTGAACATGAAAACAGAGAGATATGAAAATATAAAGTGGGATGCATCTGATCTGATTGTAATAATTAACTGGATAATACATACACTTTGGGGTCAGCAAGATTTTTTTTTTTTTTAAATAAATTAATACTTTTATTCAGAAATTATGCATTATATTGATCAAAACAGTTAAGATATTTATAATGTTACAAAAGATTTATATTTCAAATAAATGCTGCTATTTTGAACTTTATATTCATTAAAGAATCCTAAAAATATATAATGTATCACGCGTTGTTCCACAAAATATGAAACAACACAAGTGTGTTCAACATTAATAATAATCAGAAATGTTTCTTGAGCAGCAAATCAGCATATTATACTGATTTCTGAAGATCATGTGACACTGAAGACTGGATAATGATGCTGAAAATTCAGCTTTGATCACAGAAATAAATTACACATTCAAATAGAATTCAGTTATTTAAAACAGTAATAATATTTCACATTATTACTGTTTTTACTGTACTTTTTAACAAATAAATGCAGCCTTGCTGAGAATAAAACACAAAAACAAAGTGGTAGTGTAACTAAGCATTAACACATGGTTATTTATAGAATTAATTACTTTTCTATGAAAAATAGCCAACGGTGGATGATCATATAAACTGTTACTGTGATATAGAATTACTCATCCCCAACATTACCCATGTTTCTGTATTATTGTTGTGGAAATTTGAGGCACACAAGAGCACAACGCCTTTCATAATAACAGCTTCATTTAAATAAACTCAATCATGCCATCTGATCAATAATACTGAAGTACAGTGACATTTTAAGTCATTTTTAACATCGGAAATGAGTGTTTTAGAGCTTCCAAACATGCAGTACAAAACTCTCTCTAAACAACAGGAAAGAAAACAGAAATGCAGCAGCAGCTCATAACATACACTGCGTTTCATTGATTGAATATTCTATTCTACAGTCAAAAATTCATTTGGTGTCAGAATGACACACGCTCAGTGCCACGCCTGCCATTAGAACACAAATAACTGGTTAACATCATCTTCTGGAAGGCAAATAGGTTATCGTTTCCTAAGGTGAAAAGTGTGTGTTTTTTTTTTAAATATAATTTCCATCTCAGTTTAATATGCAGAAACAACTAAGTAAAAGTGTAATACTGTAGTACTTTGTGGCATTAAACATCGCTCTGTTTGTCATCAACTGACAGACATCAGTTTGTCAATCTATATTAGCATTCAAAAGTTTGGGGTCAGTAAGATTTTTTTGTTTTTGAAGGAAAACTCTCTACTGCTCCCCAAGGCTGCATTTGTTTGGCTAAATAAACTCAATCATGCCATCTGATCAATAATACTGAAGTACAGTGACATTTTAAGTCATTTTTAACATCGGAAATGAGTGTTTTAGAGCTTCCAAACATGCAGTACAAAACTCTCTCTAAACAACAGGAAAGAAAACAGAAATGCAGCAGCAGCTCATAACATACACTGCGTTTCATTGATTGAATATTCTATTCTACAGTCAAAAATTCATTTGGTGTCAGAATGACACACGCTCAGTGCCACGCCTGCCATTAGAACACAAATAACTGGTTAACATCATCTTCTGGAAGGCAAATAGGTTATCGTTTCCTAAGGTGAAAAGTGTGTGTTTTTTTTTTTAATATAATTTCCATCTCAGTTTAATATGCAGAAACAACTAAGTAAAAGTGTAATACTGTAGTACTTTGTGGCATTAAACATCGCTCTGTTTGTCATCAACTGACAGTCATCAGTTTGTCAATCTATATTAGCATTCAAAAGTTTGGGGTCAGTAAGATTTTTTTGTTTTTGAAGGAAAACTCTCTACTGCTCCCCAAGGCTGCATTTGTTTGGTTAAAAATACAGTAAAAATAGTAATATTGTGAAATATAATTACAATAATAAATGAATAAATTGTAAAAATGAATTTATTCCTGTGATTTCAAAGCTGAATTTTCAGCACCATTACTTCAGTCTTCAGTGTCCCATGATCCTTCAGAAATCATTCTAATATGATGATTTGCTGCTCATTTTTTATTATTATCTGTTATTAGCTGTGCTGTGGATATTTTTTTCTCTTTGATGAATAGAATGTCCAAAAGAACAGCATTTACTAGAAATAGAAATATTTTGTCTCTGTCACTTTTGATGAATTCAAGGCATCCTTACTGAATAAAAGTCACGGGTCTAATTACATATATTAAACGCAGTTCATGCATTTGCATTATTTGCCATTATGGCTATCTCATTGACACCTGGTGGTTCTTGCACATGCAAAAATCATCATCATCATCATCATAATGATAGAGTGATTGCTAAGATGTCCCGAGTGATTTTAACAAACAAAAAACAAAATACATAAAAAAAAAGAATATAAAATAAAATAAGATCAAATAAAGTCATGGAAACTTCTATTATACATGTGTGTAAATGACAGTAATTGATAAAAGAAAACTTTCATAAAAAATAAATAAATAACGTATTAAAGTAAAATATAAAAAACATTTATAAACTGAAATAAAACAGAACATCACAATAAAACAAAACCAAAACAAAATACAATAATAAATAGAATAAAATAAAATAATATGAATTCAGAGACACCTCCATCATAGGTGTCTGTAAATGACATTAAATCACGAAGGTACACTTTCTTAATGACAAATTTAGGCTATTTTTAAAATCAAATTCACATGGGACTTTATACAGAGGTTTAAATACGCCTTCAAATGTGGATCATCCAATCAATTTCAGTCAAACTCAATCTGTTTCATCAATTCCTTTTGACTCTATAAATAAACTGGATCAACAATCCAAGACAAACACCACCAGCACATTCTGTTTGTCTCTAACACATAAGTAGCACTGATGAATGTGCAGGCGCGTTTGAGCGCTGATGAACTGCTCTCATTTCAGCAACACACATGCCTTACACAGTTTATCCGTTCATCAGAGCATCAGAAGACCAAACAACCGTGTAAGACGGTTAAAGACGATTTCTCTAATGCCGCAGCTGCTCAATATGAGGCCACGAGGTCAAACGAATCCCACTTTTGATGATCCCTATATCCCTCATGCGCTCTTCCTTTTAATACCACTGACATGAGTAATCAATGCATGCAGACGCAGTCGTGTGAGCCAAACTCAAACAGCAGCTGGGCTCTGATCTCTGGAAATCTGTCTGGGATGCAAACGGAGCAAAGACAAGCCTCATTTTAACCCCTCACAATTAAAGCCAATCAGTCTGTA